GGGAGGGAGGGAGAAGGGAAGGAGGGAGGGAAGGAGGAAGGAAGAGGGACTGGTACTACAATTCCATTCATCCAGCATTTATAGACGGTCCCTCCTCCTGATTCTTTTCTCTTTTCCTTCCTGGGTCCCTCCCTCCCTCCCTCCCTCCAACCCCCTATCCCTCTCTTGTACCTAGGGTCTGGAGCCAGAGAATATTGACAAAGAATTCCTGCGCCTCTGGTTCAAGGTACCTTATCTTTCTCCTCCCCCTCGGTGTCCCTCCTCGTCTTTCCCCCTCACCCCTTCGCCTAAGCTCTCTCCCGTCCTTCACGCTTGCCATTCATTTATTTACTCTTCTCCTTGCCCCAGTTCTCGCTTTCACTGTACGTCTTTTCCCTCTTTCTCCCTCCTTCCTACCCTCCTACCCTCCTTTCCTCCTTTCCTGCCTCCCTCCCTTCCTCCCTCCCTCCCTCCCTTTCCAGGATCGTTGCGACCCCTACAAAGATACCACCCTCCCCGAGGCGCCAGCCGAGCTCGTAAACGAGCTCTCCCGTCGCTATATTATGCTGTATGAGCTCATCACGGGTGAGCGGGTCTTCCAGGCGACGTCCCTGTTTCGTTGTCACCATGCCTGTCTTAGATCTTTAGCCCTGGAACCAGCGATTCTTGACGTATTGAGGCACTTCTATCAAGTTAGTCCCTTTCTTATACACATGTATACATCTATCATACCCCTTTTCTTCAAATCTTAGGATTAGATTTCGTCTTTCCCGATGCCAGCGTGACCACCAACGACTCCTTGCGTGCCGCCATAGGTGCGTACTACGGCCGGGCCCAGTAAGGTCGCCGAAGTGTCAGGCGCGAGAAAGGGGGGAAAGGGGGCAAGAGGATGGGGGATCCACTCTTTCTGACTCTTTCTGAGAGTTAATGGAGGGGGGGTAAGAGGAGGGAATGGAGCCTTAAGGTGCGGGCAGAGGGAGGACTACCTTGATAGTTTCTGTGAGCGAACAACTTCGGCGTCGGGAGAATGGCTAGGAATTTGATGAGTTGCGACAAACAAAGCTTCGAGGATGCCTTCGGGACGCAGTGAAGTCTGTATGTGAAGATTATCATTGCTTTTCTCTCTCTTTTTTGAGCCCAACATGATTGTATTGTGTCATTCCTTCAGGACAGCCCCCCTGAACACTTTGGACCTTGCTGCTTGAGTCTGCTTTATATACATATTTTTTTTCTCCAGTGCGGTCTGTTATTAATAGCAGAGGCAGCTTCTAAAGGCTCCGTAGCTCACTCATTTCTTTCAGAAGAGTAGGTCTGTAAGGGGCACCGCACGCAGTGCATGTGGTTCAACAATCTCATGAATCACATGTCAGTCGCTATGTACCCTCCTATCATTTCCGCCTCGGTTTCCTTCGCTCTTTTTCCTGCTGGACGTTCTGGCATGCGATTAAAACCATCTCGCGGGTCTTTTAAAGACGTGTGCGCCTCTTGCTGAAAAAAAATATTAGGAAGGCAAAGGAAAATCTTATCATCTCTCTCCTGCGTTGATCTCTTCTGCATTATTTGTCCGTTCGCTGCCCCTTCCTGGATTTTCTACATGAAGCCTTGCATCTTGCCGATCGGTTCACTCAATGCACTCGCCACCTTCACGCATTTCATCGTACTGTCTTTGCTCGTTTTATAAACCAGTACCACCAAGGGTACCCCATGCATGTGACAGTGAAGGTTGAAACAAATAATCATCATCGTCCATCGTCTGGCTGTTGACACCCACTTGCTCATGATTGTTGCCGTCCCGTCCTTGATGCCGAGGTTGTGTCGGCCCCGTATTTACACACACACATCACACATTTTGAGGCCTTTCACTTTTGATGCAATGTTCCCCTCTCTCGCAGTCCGGGCTTGGCTTCTGGAACCAATTATGCCGCTCGCCCTTCCCTCAGTCGTCGTATGCACACTGAAACAAGTAATCTGACTTATGTGACGCCTGAGCCCGCATTACGGCTTTTCATTTGCCCTAGGACCTTAGATTCGCTCTTAGGCCTGGCTTAACATGGGATGAGGACCCGTTGAATATTGTTCATATGCACACATTGTCTTGCGAAGCATGCGCCATCCTACCCTCGACGCGCCAGCCAAAGGGCTTTAGGACCGTTCCGGCCCGACGCACATGCACCGCAAATTTACACTATTGACATATGGAATGCACAGATTTGCTTCCTGTCCGTCCCCATTCTTTTATTTCCCCTTCCCCTTTCCACCATATCCATGCTTACTCATTCTTGGTCGGCTCCTGCGCCCTTCTTCGGTCTTTTTTAATTCGAAACACGACCGGTCGCTCGCATACATCTTCGCCATTCGCACACCATGCACGACTTTCCCGTCAAATTTTCCTCCCTCATTTTACCAAGCAATCCGTGCCATTGTTTCCTTCGCCTTCAAAACAGTCCTCATTCATCCATTCAAAACACTTTCGCCGTGTACCATCCTCTTAATACCTCCATACCTTATTCCCCGCCTCCCTCTCTCCCCATCCCACAGCGTCTCCCCCAATCTCCTCGTTACAGCAACAATTCCCGACACTGTCCACGGAAGATGCAGTCGTCCAGAAATTTCCAGACCACCCCAAAGGTCATCCCTTGGAAGCCATTAGCCATCAATCGAAGGCCCAAACCGCGCCCCAACAACCCTCGCACCCCGTCCACGGCTAATATCTGTTCTGTGGTCTGCCGGTACGTCAAGAGCTCCACACTGGCTTGTTTGCACACCTTGATGACGGTCAAGGAATTGGAAAGCACGTCCGAGGCGACACTGGCCGCGAAGCCCATGAATGCATTGCGCAAGACCCGTGTTTTCATCCCTCCTGGCTCGGGCAAATGGGTCTCGCACAGATTATACACAGCGAACCACGGAAAATGCCCCACCACATTCGCCGAGAAGGAGGCCCCCGCACCTTGAAAGAGGACCGAGGGCCCCACCCGTTTCAATTTCCGCAACAGGCCAGACCACCCCGGGTATCCCTGAACCTGTTGGCAGACGATGAGGGTGTCCAAAGGCATGAGGAAGATCCGCCAGACCGCGGAGGCCACCGATCCCGCCGCCGTTTTCAGAACAATCGGGAGGTTCCTGGTCTCTGCGTGCCGGTCCAGCAAGGCCAGGGCGCCCGCGTTGGCCGCCGTGTCCCCAAACCGACTGGCCGGCCCGTGCACAAGGGCTGCGGTAAAGCCTTGGTAGAAGCGTCGTACCCCCCCTTCCCGGTATAAGGTCCGAAGTACCTGGGGCAAAGGAGTCCCGTGCATTTGTTGGTACGACATGATGGTGCGGAGCCACATGAATGCACCCACGTTGATGCCCATCGCAATGGCTCCCGAGACCCCGCCCGAAAATGCCCGACCCCAGACCGTCCTGTCCAGCTCCTCTTGCATCTCCGTATCCACCCGCAAGAAGTCGACACGTTTGCCTTCCCGTTGCTCCTTCTGATGGAGGTAGGCATTGATTGCATGCGTTCGTGTAGGGGGTAAGGAGAGCGGCGCCGCGGCGGCCGACATGGAGGAATGCCGCCTGAGCACAGCATTGCGATGGGACTCATTGGCCGGAGGACGGGCTCCTGCTGGCCTCAGAGCTTCCTCCAGCAAGAACCAGGGTTCCTTGTTACAAGCACGGCCACACCGGGTGGAAGCTGCCGTCGTGGTGTGGTCACGTGGCGACGATAATGGTGCAGATGGTGCGCCGGTCCACAAGGCATTGCTCCCGCTCATACGCCGGTCCACAAGGCGCTGGCTGTGGAGACCAGAAGGGTCTGGGGCGGCAGCCGACGCTCGTGCAACCCCGTCGTGTCCCACTCTCGCACCATCTCGGCCAGGGACAGGGCTGGCGGTGGTAGAAGTAGGGCGGGGAAGGGGGGAGGGCGGGGCTGAGGAACCTTGAGGGGCGTGGTAGGTCCAGGGGATGTTCGCCAGGATGACGGGGCTGTGGGGTCCAGGATCTCGATGGGATGCTAGTGAAGACAGCGGCAATCCCAGTGACGACAGATGAATAGACGGTGCGCTGGTTTCCGCCCTGTTTCACAGCGTGCCTCTGCGGAATTTCAAAGCAGTCTGAAGGTGTGTGGGAGCGTAAGAAAAGGACGTGATCATTTAAGCCAGGTACGGAGACGACCCCACCGCCCTCCTTGCTCTTGCATTATAACATACCTCGAGTTTATTGCAGAGATCGTCGTACAGCAGCATGTGCGTGATCGTGCTGCCCTTTTCACTTACGTTAAGTAGGGTTCTGACTCGCTGTGAAGAGTAGAAATAGTGTCATTTAAGAAAAGCATGGGTCAACAAGCTCTGGACGGTCTGCATGATACCAGTAGCTTTTGGCAAGTTGCACTTCGGCTAGCACTAGCTCATCGACCATCGTCCATCCCTCTACAGTCATCTCTATGCCAAAGGCGAAGCATGCGCGGTCTCTCAGCCAAGTAATCGATCTTGTGTTCATCGCAATAACAAGAAAATGGGGACACGTCGCCCATGGAAAAAGTGCTTGCAACGACAAGAGTGACAGAAACCGGTGGGACAGCTGTATCCTCACGACGAAATGGAACTTTCTGCATTCGGAGGATCAATGTGAGCGCTTCCCGGAGGAAGTGTCAAGAGCCTTTCCAACGAAGGCCTTTTTCCGCCCCCAAAAAATGACCAAAAAATATCCTCACCAACTCAACGCCAGTCGCCCACACGCTCTTTCTAAATTAAGGCATTGAAGCAGGCTGCGTGTCATACGCTGTCTTTCTCCGAGATCCTATCGCTTCAGAACACCGCCATCACCACTTGGGACGTACCCTCCCAGCCTAAATAAAGAGATCCCGCCAGCCATACCATGCGCCTAAACCTTAGTCACGAAAACCCTTTACCACCAAAATCATAATCAAACCTTCAGTTAGGGGGCAGGGGTAGGTGGCAAGGGGCGTGGGAACAGTGTCGCGGACGCTGGTCGTCCTTTTATTCCGGGCGATGGATACTTCAAGCGCCAAATATGGGCCGAGCCTGACGCGGGAAGCTAAAAAGGAGACGCGTCCTCGACGATGATTTGATACCCTGCGGTGTGCTGCATAACATTGATTTATATTGGCACATACATGGCAACATACGCACATGCGAAAGCTGGGAAATATGATTGGATTATTGTTCACCTTCAACGCAAGTGCTGTCCGAAGAAACCTTGCGCTAATTTTTCTTCGAAAAAAAAGTAATAAGAATTGGCTTGTATGGCCGCGATGACAACAATCCAGCCCCTGATGCTATTTCATGTGTGTTTTCAAGGTGGAAAAACGTGCCGTAATGCCTCGCGATCCAGCAATGTTACAAGTGATTCGATTAATAGAGATGCCGTAAGCCTTTAACACAATTACGACCACTATTTTTGAGAGTGTGAAAAGGAGGATGAGCTACACGAAATCTTGGACTACTCAACGGACACGAACCAAGACATATACGGAGCAGGAAATAACGTGAGAAGGTGAATTTATCAGTGGGCTACAGGGAGTCAAGTCTGTCTTCAGGCGCGAGGACGTCCTTCCCTGCCTCAGGAAAAGTGCCGGAGACGGAACGTTCACGCTCCCTAAAATACTAGTCACGCGAGACGGTATCATTGCTTGAATCGTCACATATATGTTGCCGGGTAAATAAGGCAAGTAAAGAGTCGTGTGAAGGTGGTCTCCAAGTAACCGTTCCGTGTATTATGTAGAAGCAAGAAATAACCGAGTAATTAAATCTACACACACAATGAAAAGCCCTCTTGTAGTGCTTCTTTTCCTTTTCCAAAAGGAGGAAGGGGTTCGAGGTCCGCGATGAATCAATAAAGTGGCCCACGATGCTTCACACCCACTGAGCAATCGGCTGCGCTATGCAGCCGTCGAGAACCAAATGTTCTCGAGACTGCTCCCCCGATTCGTTTGCTCCCCTCCCCCCTCCCTCTTTCTGCCTCACATGCCGGTTGTCTGGCCCCCTCTCCTTACGTCTCTTTACGCATCCCCCTTCCCCGCCTTCAACGCCTTCCCTCGCCTAATTCCATCCAATTTCTGGTCGTTGCGGGCCACCCTCAGGGCGGTATGGGCTCGGAAATTCTTCAATTCCTCCGATACTGAGACAAACTCAACCGCCTTCTTCCCCGTGGGCAAGGGTAGGACCGTGCCAGTGGCTTGCACCGCCGCCCGGCATTCCGCCGTGCTGCTGTCGCCCGCCTTGGGCTTCTTGACCCGGCCCATGGGGAAGACAATGAGTTTGGATTTGTACTCTTTCAGTCGCTGCACGTTGGCTTGCAACGACTCGACCGACAGGTTCGTGCGACGGTGGTCGACGGCGATGCCTACGGACTTGGCGTACTTCTTGGTCAAGCCAGCTTCCTTCAGCTCCTGGATCGAGGAGGGAGGAGGGAGGGAGCAAAATGGAAAGGGGAGATGTTGAGAATTGTGCGTGAAAAAAGTCTGCAGCAAACAAACATCCACAAAAAGAAAGGTCTGGCAGGCCTCCGCCCCACTTTGGCTCCTCCTGGCTCACCTGCATGGTGAAACCCCTGCCCAAGCGCGTCTTGTGATTGTACCGCTGCGTGGGCGCGTGCACCACCGGACGGAGGAGTTGTGTGGGCCGGGGAGCAAGGGCTGCGGCCTTGGCTTTCCGAGCCAGGCGACGGGCCTTCTTCTTGGCGGGCTGTGAGGGGTAGAGAGAATCGAAGCAGGGTGGTAGGAAATAAGAAAATCAAGCCAAGCATGTGCGTGCATGACGTACAAGCACGAGCGGATACATGCTGTTTGAAATAGGACGGTCCTGAGCTGAAGGAAAGTCGCGAGCCCGAGGTAAAAGGATAGCGGGAAGGGAGAGACTCCCAAGTGAGACTTTCCGATCCCCTTCCATCACCACGCACCTGAACAAACCAGGTCTTGACCCGAGTTTGCCAGTCCTTATGGAAGTGCTGGTTCGGGATGACGTTGTTGTGTCGTACCATCCTGCCTTAGGGGAATGGAGGGGAGGGAGGAGAAAAAGGGTCATGAGGTGGAGCTCCCCACGCTCTTTTAATGACCATTGCAGTCTCGTCCTTGAAAACGAGGCACGTTCATCCAGAGCAGTGCACAAATCTCACGACGACGTCTGCGAATATTGACGAACCACAAGGACAAGATGGTGGGCGCTCCGCCCAAGAAGAAGACAACGAAGGGGAGGACAGTCTGGAGCCTTTCCAGCCGTCCATCTACCCCTCGACGCTCCTTCCTCCGTCCTATGTCTCACTCTGTCCCCCAAAAAAGCATCTCAGATGGTCATCCCATTATTCCCGTAAGAAACCCACGACCCTGCACTCGAGATCAAGCCCCGGGAGGCCGAAGGTAAAGGAGTGGATGGCGATGGGGGGTTTGAGGCACACATGTCTGTCCCCGCGGACCGGGGCCAGACCCTCCCCCCCGCCCTCGCTTTAGTGCGGCCTGCGAGTTCTTTGGCGACTGCAGGTTGACGCTGCTTGTCACTAGTCTATGTTGGGATGCGAATCAGAGGTAGGCGGGGTATTTTAATTCCGTAGCTTGAGTCAGTAATTTCTTCAAAATTCGTCTGCTAGTCGCTGCGACAACTACAGCAGGAGCACCAACCTCCCCTCCTTCTTACCTTGTAGGACGTGCGAAGCTCGATGATTATACGATGATTGGCTTCGAACGCCATTTTTGTTGGTCGTAGGCTTAATAACATAAATCTGGAGATGTGGACACCGGCGCAAAAGTCTAGCAAAAGCAAAGACAGCACGAGTGCGTCCGGCGGACACGCAGTAGGCGAAAGGGCCCATCCCATGCTGCCTCCTGATATCCCGTCTTATTCCTTATCGGAGAGTCAACCCTCGTCTTCAATCGGGTCGACCCCATCATCCACTCACAACAACAATGTACAAACTTTGGAGTCACGGGTGCGGAAGTTGGCGGTACGTGTGATAGAAGGGACAATTTAGGGTTTTCTTTCTTCAACACCGTTCCTCCTCCCGAGAAATGTGCCATCCA